TGCACTGGTTCGGGGTTCTGTGGTGAAGTACATACGCCTTAGCTTCTTTACAGACGACCGGCCGGGTTGGCGACTGAGGTGCCATTTTGTGTCTGTAATGGTAACCTTCCCCATACAAGAATACCCAGCAGCTTCACCAAATGATAGCGAAAGGTAGGATGATTCAAGATTGTTAGTGATATCAAGAGGCGATTTCGCCCATTTCGATATCACGTGTCGAAGTCGAGCGTTCCTTAATTTTAGGGTAGACGTAGACGCAATACAAGAAAGGGAAACGGAAAGGAATATGATACGAGCAGACCATCGTGTGGATCCAAAAATATAACCCAGTCAACAAGAAGAGGACTCCTTCGCGTGACATTCGCATCTACGTCTCTTGCAGCTCTGTTGATCCTTCTCCAGATCATTTCCTTCCGACCAGGACGCCCATGAATGTTGCAGCCCGGCTGCACTTTCCATGCTCTGGAGGAGGAGGAAAAAGAACGGAGAGGGAGGCGAACGAGGGGTGTATTGCGGTGAGAGCATCCATGGAGACCATGCTCTTCTCAACTTCCACCTCTTTCCTCCTCCTATTCCAGGTTTCCCATGGTATTCATTTTTTTTCTTGACTCTCGCCTTTGATTTCAACTCGCACCCTCGTTTCTGGCCAATTTCCCATGCCAATAGATATCATGAGTTCAACCGTTTTTCATTAAGATATCCGGCTAGAGTTCCGTTATTTCCTGTTTCGAAAGTCCAACAATAGAGTTATCTATAACTGTGCTACCATTATAAATCCAAACGCGCTANCTGCCCGATTTTATGGATTTCTTGGGATGCATTCCTCCATAAAGCCCTGCAATAACGTCTTGATGACATCCTCTTCAGGTTACCGAACGGGTGAACAATGCACGGGTCTCGGTTTAAACGAAACCTCTGGATGTGATGCGAAACGAGATAAGGAGACGATGCGATTTCATCTCTAGTTACTCCGTCCTTCGCAAGATTGGGCCAAGGGTGTGCGTTTTTTGCCTTGGGGCTCCTGAAACCTTAATCCGACCGTTTTTAAAGCCGAGCCAAAGCCCCCTGGGGTGAGGATTGTCCCTGATCCCTGATCGTCAAGAAAGTGACAGCAACACCGAATTTCAGTTTGGACGGAATGCACAGCTCCTAACGCGAATTCCGTTTGAAAGTGTTTCATAGGATAAAGAAGGAAAGTGTGTGGAGCAAGCAGCTGACTGGAGGCCTGAGGATTTCCTCCCCCCTCCTTCCCTCCCTCCCCAGCAGACCTGAAAGGCCAGGGGCGATCAAGCGAGGATTCGTGTTCGTGTGCAACGTTGCCAACTGCGTGACCTTCCTTCGCCCTCCTTCGCTTCGTCAGGAGAGCTTCAATGTCTGAGGCGATTGCGAATCGCGGGTCAGTTGCTGCTCCGACGTGACGTGACCTCGTCGTCTCCTCGCCGCTTCCTGCAGTTCGCCTCTCGACTCCGCCGTGGAAGGAGTCATCGGTGAGTAGTGTCTCGTCCCGGTCCTCAAATCTTCCTCTGTTGGATTGTCGCATTTGACCTCATTCTTCGGGTTCCCTTCCGATGCACGACCCTAATAGTAAGCATTCTTCATAGGCTCTAATTCTCTTCCTTCAAAAGACTTTCATTGCCTTTCCCTGCCTTCGTTAACCGCTCTGGATTTCGTAGGGGGCGTCGCCGAGAAGGAAGCGAAACTGCATGGTTTCTTGAGGTGTGCCTCCTGGGCTCTCCATTCGCTACATACCCTGCAGCAGAAATCGTCCACGAAGACCCGCGACGGTGTCATCGTTTCTCCGCTTGCAAGGAAAAGGCGGCAGTTGGTGGATGCTCCATCTCGTCGGAATGTGAACCGTGAAAACAGCGAAGGTGCGTGGTGGCCATTTTCTCTCTTTCGTCAGGTATTTTAGGAGATTTAAAGCCCTTTTGGGACGGGAATTTGCTCTGGAGTTTCAGCCACTGGATATTAAGGGAGAGATGACCCTGTGTAATCCTTGAAAGAGTTCGTTGTCTTTGCCAATCTAAGTTTAAGAGAAGACGAGAGACAGCAGATACGCGGCTGGTATTTTGATTAGGAAACCGCTACTGCCAACTGCTCAAAATTGTGAGATGCAAATTTCAGAACCGACCAGGAAGCAAGCACGCGTCTCCCCCAGCCTGGAAAAAAAGTAATCTATTTGGCATCGCGTATGTGCGATCGTTAAAAAAGGGGTGGGGGTGGGGGGTGGGTGGGGGGGAAGAACTGGAGGGATCAGGCCCTAAAAAGCAGAAGCAAGATGTGCGTGAGTGAAAATCGCAAATGCACCAGTCTACTTTATTCTTGCTGTGACAAATCAAATAAATCGTACGTTGTCAATCTTTTAGTTTGCTACCGCTCTCCCAACTTTGGAAATCCATCGACCTGGCCGTTTTGAATTCTGCTATCCCCAGTCCCGTCGAAGTCAATTTGCTGGACACTTTTGAAAAGGTTTCCGGAAACTCATCGTCGGGAGAATGCGGTAGAAGTAACTTTTCCTTAATTTGAAATATTCCTGTGAATTTTATCTGTGAAATGTTTTGTGGCGAATCTTGTCTTGCTTCCCGTATTTTTTATTCATGGGCTTGATTCCTTGCAATTCTTGCTTTTTTTTGCAGGTGAGAATTTAGATTTCTAATTTATTTCTTTTTTTTTCGCACTCTTTTGAAGATCCGTTCTCGAACAAACTAACATCATGATTTAACGCTTTTTTTTTCTCGGTACCAACTGAAATTTAAGGTGGCCAGTCTTATAGACGACAGTCTTATAGAATATCCACTTTCTCCATCTCAAGTACCTGAAAAAATATCACAACTGCTGAAAATGCTCAGTTCGTCGGAAAGAATAAATATCGACTGGTATTTTGAATGAAAATCTGCGGCAGAAACACGAAAGAAGTTCAAACGCCATTACAAGACGTTCCAAGGGTCCAGTCATTTCTGATCTTGTTGGGAAGTTTCAGGAGACAGGGTCAGTTCAAGACCAGCCGAAACAAAGTCGACTTCAGGAGAAGGAGAAAGTGCACCAAGATATGTAGCAGAGGGATTTACATGCTCCCTCATGAAATCAGTAAGACGGGCAGTTCTTGAATTTGTATACCCGGCATCTTCAATTCATAAAACCCTCAGAACATCTTGCATAGGTTTCCCTATAAATTCCAAGCACTGCAATATTTTTTTTTCTTTGGGACAAACTGAGGATTTTCAGGAATTATATTAGTTTTTCAGGCACCTAAGATGGAGAAAAATGAATATTATTAGTGTTCCGGAATAAATCATTTAGTCCTCTTGAAGGCTGGCTCAACAGCGGATAAATAATTTGGAAAAGCTTTTTTTGTGCAAAAAATATGCCGTGAGGGAATCTATTTTGAAAATAACATTTTTCCCGAGCAAATGAAACTAATACCAATTTAAATAACCCCCTTTTGCTGCCTAGTAGCGTAAAAAATTTCTGCTTTTTCCTCATTTGCACAAAAAGTGCACTGAGGGGATTGATCCCATGAATAATTATCATTTACAGTTGAGGACTTACTAAGTTCCATGTTTCTACATTCATAAGTTTCGCAGGAGGAAAAAGTGTTCCCTAAAGAGATGCACCTCAAAAGTAGGATTATTCCCGAACTCATTACAAGAGCCACTTGTGTGCAAAGTTCCACCGTTTATTGATTCGCTACGAGGTCTGATCAAAAAGTTCCAGTACTTTTATTCGTAAAATTTATTTTTTATTAGTACATTGTAATTTTGTGTAATTTTATTTTTTTTTAGCGTGCGTCCTTCAATTATGAAATGCATCAGAGGTCTAACTGTAGGATTTGTAGTCAAGCAAGACGATGACGTTTTGAAAGCCAAGCTCGCATAGTTTCAGACACGAGGAAGTGAATTGTGAAGGTTTCCAAGTATTCAAGATTCCTTGATCCTCTATCTCGTTCTAATTCGTTTAACCCGAGAGGAGTTTCTGAATACACAAAAAATTGCATACTATAGAAACGTTTTTAGAGGTAATGCAACACATCTAGCTTCCCCAGGCTCGAGGAAATAGGACAGATATCGATTTTGATCGCATCCCCGAATGAGCCGATTCCCGTATCCCGCTACCGCGAAGCACGCCTCACGCACGGAAGTGTTGCTGATATAAAGCCATCGGTTGTCTCTGTAGTATTTGGACCCATCCCCCCCCCCCCCTCCAATTACCTCTCTGAGTTTCGCCTCTACACATACACTTTCAATGTTTATCGCGTTGATCATTTACTTATTACTGTTCATGAAAATTATTGATTACGCGAATTGCAAGTCATGCATCGAACATCGGGTGAAAAGTCCCTCTAGCTTGCATCAATGAGAGGATATTGGAAGCCTGTTTATTTTACTTGGCTTTACATATTGCCTAGTTAACATGAGCTGATTCACTTATCGCTAGCAATATTCTTTTTCTTTTGCTCAAAATGAAGCCAGGGCTAAATTGAGCCCAGGCTTCATTCAGCTTGAAATTTTGCAGAGGCGGCTGGGGGGAAAAAATTGAAAAAACTGCACGGAATGGGCCTGACCGTTTTGAGAAGAGAGATTCCGAGTTGCTGGTCCCGCGTCACGACCAGGATCCCGTAATGTTTGCACGTCTCCCGCTTCGACGCCTCCATCGTCGACAGAAACAGGGAATACAAAGGACAATTTACGATCATGCATAATCGAGGTCTTCTTAACGTCATCGTATTTTTTAAATTATTTTTACCCCCTATGGTGAACTATCGAAGAACTAATTTTTATCGAGGTATCTCAGCGAAATTAAAGCGCTTCGGATAAAAGTGGACGTACCGATTGCACGCTTTCCTCGTCTCTCAATTTGAAGAGTAGAATCGTTATGGGCTTCTCTTGCAGGGCCCCCAACAATATTTGTCTGTCTCTATCACCTAACAATCAGAGATGACCATGCAAAACAAGTGTAAATTCATCATTTAGGTTTTTAGTTTTTTCTTATTATCGTAGAGTCTAACTGTAGGACTGGTAGTCGAACAAGACGATGACGCAACGAAAGCCCTCGGCCAGGAAGAACTGAACGAGGAACTTCCCGAAATCCGCCGTCAAAGTAGGTGCTGGATGTTCCTCGATGGGAGGGATCCAGATCCCTGTATAAAACGTTACATTAAGAAACTCAATTAAGGGGAAAATTCAAACTTCTTAAATGTGGATCTAGTATCATCCTCGGCTTAAGTGACAAGGAATTAATCAATAAACGCCTCATAAATAAATAAATAAATAAATAAATAAATAAATAAACCTTTGCAGTATCTTTCATCAATATGAAAAAGAACTCCATCGTAATAACCGACCACAATTGTTAATTGCGGCATCAAGATAGAATTGAGCGACTTTTAAATGAAACCTGCACGACCTCATATAAATGTGTAATGACCCTGCTAACGTTGGTAAGGAAGTTTATGGTGTCGAGGAAAGCTCGTAGGAAACGCGCGGAATGGCTTACAGTGAAGACGCAATTTCTCCTTAGCTACTTCAGCGTGTATCGACTGTGAAGCTGTGTCGATCGCTCGGTGATTGGGATGCATGCATTAGCCGGATTTGGTCTACCCATCAATCTCACTTAGAATGAGCAGCTCGTCCTGGATGGCCTAAATCCGTCATCCTTAGGATGTGCAGCTTGAACTGTAATCAGTGAAACTACCCTCTTCGGTAATTGTGTCTACTACATCATGATGACCTTGGATAGAATATTTAAAGTTTTTGATAGATAAAGCTGAAAAACAACTCTTGAATTTGTAAGACGTCTTTTCCGAATAATAACATTATTTTATTCTTTCTCACAATTTTCACTATTGGCCTACGACAGCTTTCTTAGATCTCGGACGTCGGGTAGCAGAACTGGGTGGAATTTCCTGAAGTCCTGCTCGCGACAGTAACCATTCTCTCTCAAATTTATATAATAAAAAAAGAGCAAACATGGGGCAGGAACATGCTGACGATTAAAAGAAAATTTGCGAGGACTGCGAAATGAGCCAAACTCCGCAGGGTCAATTCCCTAATGGCCAGGTACACTCCTTGTCCTTGCAATTCATCGTTCGTCAGCTAGGTGGATCATCTTGGTGGAATATCCACAACATATTAAATAGCCAGAATTTAAATTATATTTAAATGTTGCAACAATGTATTCTTTTTAACATGCCGTTATCTGAGCAGAGACAGGGGGGATGACGGATTCTTGATCCTGGTTGGCTCTTGCTTACACTGCACAGGAGGCTTTGATACTGCGATAGAGCAGAGAGCATTCGTAGCTCAGATCCCAGCAAGACACCGGCAATTCCTCCACAAACACCACGCCTAACATAAGAAATGATTATATGAAAAAGCTACTACAAATTTTCGGTAACATAACATGCCGGGAAAAAATTGGGTGAGTGGAGAGAGACAAGTTGGCAACGCTACTCAGGCAAACCGCAGGTAAATAGAAGAAAACGCTGTTCGTTGGCATTACGGAAGGACCGTAATAACTTGGAAATATCCTTTCTGTATCAATGTATGTAAATAGGCACTCAAGTTTTGCAAGGTCAATAAAGGATTTAATTGCGCGTGCTAGGATCTCCATCCGAGGCGTCGTAATGAGAGGAAGAGTTCTTACCTCCAGAGATAACGGCGGCAGATGGTGTAGGTTCCCGATTCCTCTGGAAGATGGCGCAAGCGTCAGGATTCTCACTTCCTCATCCCCTCCAGAGAATTCCCCAGAGAAACCGGTGATGAAGGAGACCAAGTCGGGACTACTTTTGGTTTCTGCTTGGAACAGCTTTTATACCCTCCCTTTCCTTGGATGCAGCGGTCGACCTTGGCACTCCCCCTTCCCTTCCAGATATCCATCTCCCCCACTTCCGGCTTCCTTTCCACCTTCCCCCTTGCACTGACTCTCACGGTCTCTTCGAAGCACGCTAGGCCCATTTTCACCTAATAGGTCAATTTTCCTCACTCTGTGAAACGATTCATAATTAGTTGGTTAGTTGAATTTTTTAATTTACTCTATTACTCACCGAATGCTTCCTCATCGCTAATATTGAAGTGAACACCTTGAAGTTCTTCGCCACGCCCCTAGATGGCGGTAAGGGTCTTGTTTTCCGCACAATACACAAACGTTCCCTTCTCTCTTTCCCTGGAATCGTCCCTTGCAGGATTGTTTGGTACCTCCATATATATCTCGCCTAGTCTCATGATTGGAATCAATAAACGCGGACACTTCATCATTTGTTATCCACATATTCAAGGCATATTCATGGAGTCCAGGCCATAAACAAAGTCATATTCCTACTGAGAACCCTTTCGGAAAGATCGAGAATAAATGGAAAGTGTCCGCGAACTTCATTTAATCATATATCTCAATTAATTGAAGCAATAAGGGACTTGTATCCCGCATACTCCATGGAACCTGTAAGAGGTGATCCACCCTCTGGCCTGTGCTGCAATCGGTATTGTCAGAGGTAGGTCATCCCCTGTACGAGAGCGAAAGCGACACACATTATATATGAGAATTTTCGTATTTGCATGACATCTCTGTCACTTTCTGATTGGGAGCGTTTTTACTCACGGAGGAGGAGAGCAATTTTGCTCCTTGGTGATGTTACTCCATTCGCTCCTTTCCCAGAGTGCTGAGGGGTGAAGCTGGAGTTAGCTATTTTACTATTCTTTTTTTTAGAAAAATCGCTCCCTTTTTCTAAGAGTGTAGGAACTCTGGTAAGCCAGAAAATGGCCAAGAGAACAAAATCGATTCCTAAAAATATTCACGTGCATTGATGGTAATGAGATGCATCTACGAGCAGGCAAAACGCTCCATTGACAACCGACTCCTTATATGGGGCTCGAAGGAGGCTCACAGAGGGTTAACCCCATCCCATTCGTTCAATTACAGGTGGGACACGAGATTAGGAAGACTGATCCATGATGAAATCTTCCCGTTTAATCCACAATTTAATTTCTCGTTTCATCAGGGTGAAAATATGCCATGGAGAAATCAAAATATGCATTTTTTGCGATCCTATGCGCCCTTCTCTAATCTAAGGAGATATATATCCTAACGCTGGGCAACGCTCACAATCTCGCTATCGATCGTGCGACCGAAAGGAGCAGCTGCCAGCATGAGATTTTGTGCACGGTATGATGATTCTGGCTTTCTGATATTGGTGTGCTGCTTGGCGCGACGTCGAGAGAGACTCCTGGAGAATGAGACACCTTTGTGCAAGGGAAGGTGCTGGCTTCGATCACTTCCTCGACTCGATGGGAGAACGAAGAAATGACGAACTGGCCTCGCGGACACTTCATGGGACAGTGAGAGGTGGTCCATCCTCTGACATGTACTAAAGGCAGTACAGTGAAAGGTAGGTCAAAGCCTGTACCGTTCGAGTGAGAAAGCGACACGATGTATACACGAGGATTTGCGACTTTGCATAGCATCCTTCCCCATCCATCCCCGCACGAAATCCAGTGGGAACACATAGCGAACGTGTTCAGTGACACCACAGAAAACGCCAACTTTGGCGACGTCTCGCATAATCAGCAGGAACCTTGCTTGATCGCACAACAAAGACGGATGACAACCACACAAATGGCACAAATGTTGGCTGCCGCATGGCAAGAAACTATGGCCCACACAGGCAGCTCGACTGGAAGGTTGGCCGTGGTGTGATGTGGGGTGGGGTGTGGGGTGATGCCTTGGGCAATTTTTGGGGAAATTCACAGACACTTCATTCGGGCCTTCTCGTTCGTCAGCTGGAGAAGAAGTATTTCCTCAAACGTTTTACATCACGTTTAAGCGCCGGGAATGCATTCTCTTTAAAATGCGTCTTAAAGTCCGTTTCCGTTTCATATGCCGTGAGCAAAGCGTTCAGATGACTTCCGGAAACGTATGGAAAGATCGAGGTATCGATCCTCAGGCGACATGGAAATGAATTCCTTTTCTCAGACCGGATCAGAAACATTGAAATCCGTCATTCCATCAGCCTAAATTCCAAAGCAATCTCGAAATTGTATTTTTTTTTTCCAATTGAGGATTGAAATGCAGCAGAGGCGAGGTAAATGAAATCGTGAGGATGAAAGGAAGATGCGGATGCGAAACGAGGAGGGAAATCTGAATCAGAGGTGATGCTGGATGATATTGCTTATTTCAATGGATTTATAATTAACCGATCTGTCTAACCCCTGTTCTAAGAACAGGCTGGAGTCATTCAAAACCAATTATGAATCGTTTTACATAGTGGGGAAAATTCACTGTTATGCAGTGGAAATGGGTCCAGCGTGCTTTTTAAGAGTGAGTGAGGAGGTGGAAGGAATTCCTTCGCCAACGGACTCCTAATCAGTGCAAGGGGGAAGGTGGAAAGGAAGCCGGAAGTGGGGGAGATGGATATCTGGAAGGGAAGGGGGAGTGCCAAGGTCGACCGCTGCATCCAAGGAAAGGGAGGGTATAAAAGCTGTTCCAAGCAGAAATCCTGAGTAGTCTTGACGTGGTCTCATTCGTAACCGGTTTCACTGGCGAATTCTCTGGAGAGGACGAGGAATGGAGGACCCTGTCGCGTGTGCCATCGTTTGGAGGGAATGACGATTTCCTAGAGGAATCGGGAACCACGTCCATCTGCCGCCGACATCTATCGAGGTAAGAACTCTTTCTCTCATAACGACGCCACGGATGGATATTTAAGTGCAGTTAAGTCCTTTATTGACCTTGTGAAAACCATTTTCGTGAGTCATTACAATGCTAATGAACAGGGTTTTTTCACATTTACCTGCGGTTTGCCTAAGAAGCGTTGCCAACTTGTCCCCGGAATGTGCCCGTGTCCATTAGGAAACACATACGGACGCATCCTTGATGGGAAGAAAGCCCCGGCACAGATGCGACATGCCCGCTTTGGATTTAATTTAGCCGCTACACTACATTCTGTGCAGCTCGAGCATGAGCTCGGGCTTAGCCATCACCTTTTGCATTGTGCCGGCACTGCGTGTTCACGGTGGATTCTTCCCTAAAGGCGTAGGAAGGTCCTCGAAGGTCCTTTTGGACCTTTTTAGCAATTCATAGAACTTGCCGGAGAATACTCGAGAAGGATACTCACTCTCTTCTCCGCGACGAATTCACGCCCACGCATGAATGACTGCGATCGAAAGTAGCAGCAGGCAAACCATATCCGTGAAAACTCATGCTCCTCTTGCTTCTCAAGGAGAAAGGCCTTCCCATCATTTAGAACACGGGCCTTCTCGGGGCGGTCCCAGGGGTCAGAGCCGAGTCTGACCCCTTAATTTTGGCCATAGAGGCCCTGCCAGATTGCGAGCAACCGAGGTGCCGAGGAAACCGAGGAGTTTCTGTTCGCTGTTCTTGTTTATTTTTGTTTGTCACCCCTTTCTCCTCTGTATGTGTGTCGGAGACGTACGAATAATAAGCGCCTCCATTATACATTCTCTTCCCCATTCTCTTGGGGCCCGTCCCCGGCAGCCCTGTTAGGCCCGTCTCCCGTTCTGCGCCTTCGGTCGTGGTCGGACGTGTGGCTCTCGTGTCTCGCCTTTTCCTTTCTCTCCTGCCGGCTCACGACGTCTTCCGTGGCAGGCCGGCAGTGACAATAACAGTCGACCGCGACTTTCACCTTTTCAAGTTGAATTGCGGTCGGTCGAAACGCGGCTACACTGCGATCTGATCTCATCATTCCAGTCGAACGCTGGCATCGTGACGTCATCTCTGCCTTCAACGGAAAGAAACCGGAACCCGCGAAGGCGCGAGAGAGCATGAGACATTCGCCTTCGAGGAAAAACCTAAACTAACCCCCACTGCACGGACCTTCACCCGCGGACCAGGTGACCTCGTGACGTCATCCACCTCGCCTCCACGTGATCCCGCCTCACGACCCTCCACTTTTCCTACCTCCAGCAGTTCGCCTCTCGCTGCGGCAGTGGAAGGAGTAGGTCCTTCACTCGCTCCAGCTCGTCGCCGTTTTTCTCTGAATCTCAGCGTCATCATTGTTTTTCCCTCCCTTTTGTTCCTCACGAATTGCTTTCATTTCCTCAACTGCAATGTATTTTTCCAACTCACGGAAGGTCCTCGATTCCCCCAACAGGACCTGCAGGAGAAAAGGCCTATGGAGACCCGGAACGGTTGGAGGAGTCGGTGGTATTTCGCGTCGTCTCAAAGGAACTGGCAGAGACCATTCCCCCATCACATTTCTGTCTCTCTCGCCCAGGTGTTGAAAGATCCGTGTCCCAGTTGGAACTCGTTTTTGGATCTTCTCTCTCTCTCGGTGGATGATCCTGTATTGGGTTCGTTCTTTTCGCCAATATTTGTACATATGTATTTATATCTTGCACAATATTTGCATATATCTTAAATATATATGTACATATTGTGCAAAAATTGCAAGCATTAGATGCTTTCGCAGCGACTGTAAACATCTAATCTATTGCATGTTATGAAGTCAGCGAGCCGTTCTGTAAGAGCTGGCTTCGTGGTCTAATCGACTCACTGCCCTCGCTGGCCAGCGACGAGGCTAGGCTCACTCGATTTTGTCCCTCGCAGCTATCGTATTACCATCCGCTCAGAGTTGCCCTTGACAGCCTTGTGAACGACGGGAGGAATTTCGTGGTCATGTTTTACTTTAAAACATTCGTTTGTGCAACATCTCTCGATTATGCACTTGCCTCTCATTCCTCGGCCAGGCAATTTTAAATAGAACTATCCCCGGTCGCGTCGAAGTCATTTGGCCGAAATCGTTCTTTAGAAACGCTTTGCGAAAACTCATCGTCGTGGGGATGCGGTACAGGGGATAGACCTTTTTCCACAATTGGAAAGTTTTTAGTGAATTTTATGATTTTATTATGAATGATTTGTGTCGAGTCTTCTTGCTCTTTTGAAGGAGAGTTTATTTTTTTAAAAGCAATTTCGAGAACGTGTAAAATTTCCCCATGGTGTATGAGGAAAAAATATTCAAGAAACGTTGTGTGAGAGTCAGTGTGAAACCTTGACCCCGACCCGTGGGCTCCATCTTGGCCGGACACTATCACAATTTCGGACACTATCACATACAACGTTACAAACCAAGCAATGGTTACTTCACCCTCAAACAGTTCTTCGCAGCATGGAAGAGGGTAGCCTTTGGTAAACTGAGGGTAAACTCGGAAATGCTTTGTTTAATAACAATCAATTTGATTGTGTCCGAACTTAAATGGTTTTACCCTGAAAGATTGTATTTCAAAATTATCTTTAGATACGAAAGACGTAATGCACGCAACTCCTTCACTCATCGTCCTATCCATCCTTCATCCGCATGGGGGTGTATGAATAATGGCTTAAACAAGAATTTTTCTTCTTTTTGAAGATATTTGCGATAGTTTCGAAGACTTTCAACAAAAAAACACATACAATGGAACAGTACATAGCTGAATATAAATATTCAACATAGTTTCTCCCCCTGTAAAATGACTTCATTGTTCAATGTATTACTTTTCCAAATGAATTGTAAGAAAGACTAAGAAAGTCGGGAGGTTTGAGGCTCGTTCATATCATTCCTGGTTCCTAAAATGGAGAAAGCATTAGAACTTATGTCGAGGTTCCCTTGCTTCCAAGTTGAAAACAGTTGTGAAAGGAAACGCGGAAATCAACAAAACCTGCCTTGTAGTCCCTGAAGGTTCATGTACTAGCCCGATGGTACGCGATATTCGTTAACCCTTTCAGAACCAAGGGACGTATTTGTCCCATATTTTCAAAATCCTCCCAAATTTGAATGAATTAGTCTAGGGCGATGCTTTTTGCGAATAAGGAATCAGTATGTCATGGACTTTCAAAATTATGGCAGGTTTTGTGAATATATGAATTTGTGTCGTCACCAGACAAAATGATCTTTTAAGCAAAATTCTTTTCCAAACTGGTCCGGAAATGTGAATTTTGATTTTTTTTTTTGAAAAACCGATGCAGCCGAAAAAAAATTGTCGGTGGGTTTGCCTTCGTATGTCCTTACTGTAACATATTTTCTCATTTCGACACTCATTTTTCGAAAAAAATGTATTTTTTTTGTTGTGGGACATATTTGTCCCACGCTATTTCTCGAGAACTATGGGAGATATAGCCTCCAAACAAAGTCTTTTGGAATCTACACGTCATTTTCACCCTAAACACGTCATTAAAGTTAAGGTCGCTGTCCCACAATGCTTATGGTCCTGAAAGGGTTAAACCAAGTTTTTCAATTACACGCGGTGCGCTGTGGACGGCGTAATAGGATGAGTTTACTTCTCCAATTCATGCTGCGCAGCGTGTTCATGCGTGTAAGTGAACAGATTATTGAATATGAATTTTGAAAGGGACGTCATTGTCTGGTTTTTCGCGTTTCTCATTCCTTTCTTTCTCCTTTTCTAGCACGTGTCAGAATAGGGTTCAATGCATTACCTTTATGTATTGCGTGGAACTTCCACGCGTATCGCTCCCCGGATTCAGGAAAGTTCAAATAAAATCCAAATATTTGAACTGCTGATTTCTACGTCCGTACGAATCATTTCTTTGGGTAAAATTTCATACATTTTGTCGAAAGCAGGAAGATAAGCCGAACCCCACTGCATGGCGACCCCTTTATACTTGACGAAGAACTTGTCCGCGTTCACGTGAAGGACTTCCCACTCTTAAGGGAACAGAAGAGTACCTTGGTCAAGATGAGAGCACATGAGTACACACATCGAAATCCGATAAAAGGATCATGTACCCTTTCCAGCATTGATCTTCTCCGCGAAATAGTCAAGAGCAATGCGTCCCTCGATGCAAACTGCAGGGATGCCATCCGAAGGTGTGAGGACCGCCTGGACGCATTTTTCGATGTTGTCCACAATGTAACCGCTGCTCTGCCGTTGCATCTTGTCGAAGATGCTTGCGTACACCTCCGTTCCTGTCTGCAGTCGGAAATCCGTCAATCCGTGTCATTGTAATCGCTAGGTCTCTCATCTCACTTGAAAAGGCACTGAAAAGTAAGTTCTGTTTACAGCATTCGTCGAACCCAAGAGGAACCTCAAGGGATAACTTTAGTATTACAACTGGAACATGATTATGGAAAAGCCATTGGTAAGAAAAGTAAATTTCTCAATGCTTGCGGCCAAAACCAGTCATTTCTCAATCACGCTCAACCCACAATATTGTTTAGTATTGGCTTTCAGGAGCATACAGCAAATATCGCGTAAGTGGAGCTTCCCCTAACAACGATGGCCTTCACATCCCCTCGCCCTAGAGCCTCATCCAGTTCGTCCAGAGTCTCCATCGCGTTCACTGATGATATAAAAAGAATCCAGAGAAGTTTAGACATTGGTCCAACATAACAAGAGTGATTGCGACTTCGAAATGGTGGATACTTTTCCCTTTGTCCGAGTAAAAGGAGACGAGACTGGCCCTCATCAAGGTCCCCATGATCAAGAAGTAGGAGAGGAAAAACACCATGAGAACTCGGCCCGAATTCCCAGGGGGCACCGGAACGCTATCTGCAATCGCACTACATCCCATCAACCTGCCTTTCCAGTCCAGTTTAATGGAACCCAGACCTTGTTGAGAAAATCCTCCAAAGGCAGCGTAGAAGGCCCTCCACATGACATCCTTTCTCTCCCCTGCTGCCCATTGAAGGCCCGCATGAGCGATAAAGATCACGATACCAGCGAATAGCAGTAGCGTCCAGCCCTGATCAAGCCTTGGATAACTCAGTCGACACAGATCAACGAGTACATCAATATTTTTCCAACCAACCGGTGTTGATATTCCGTAAATTTCAAAGAAGGGTGGGTCCTCGGGTGGAGGGGCCCTTGTTACGTAGCCGTTAAGCCCTTGCAGCGTCGGAAAGGAAAATTCCACAGCAATGCTCCTCTCGTACATCGTAGTCGTGTCGTCCAGAAACCACTCGTAGTCCTAGATAGGAAAATGTTTTTTTTTTTTCATGTGAGCAAATATGTTTTTTTTTTGTATAAGCTACTATGAACATGAAAATATATCAATTTAAGCCATGTTGAAATCACCCTTTTCATGATACGGCCGAGCACACCGGGAAAAGTTCCGTTCTCGAATACCGATCCTCTCGTTGTCTCATTTTCGAAAAGAACCCAGCTGTAACAGGGCAAAACAGAAACATTTCCGTAAACATTGCTAAAGTATTGAGAGATATGGAATGTTGGGTGTAACAGAAGGCAAGAAGTATTGGAATCAGTTTCACAATAAATCTACTTCTCAACAATGGTTGTAGTCAGCGCTACTCATCAAACTCAGACATTTTTGGACTATACAGGAGCGTTGATGAAAACAGAAACAGCATAGAAACACTATTAGTAGGGAGGGATAATGTTGAGGTTTGTCGTATTTCCCAGTTTTGCCATTTATTGGATTTTCAACGAGATGTTTACATAACAAATAGGGACCTGTGATGAAGTGAGAATGATAATTCGCCCACTTTCGTTCTAGTTGCCATAACAAGCTAGTTATTTTGTTTATTAATATTTCTTCCTCTTCCTTTGGTAATACCTCGCAAACTTCGTGCCTCCATGTGTTTCTCTTCCTACCACATTTTACACTGTTGTAGTCGAGGGGAATCTGAGAAAACAAAATGAATGTCCTGGAGATGTAACAGACGTGAAATTGAGTGCATGGGCGAGAAAAACAACTGCCTGATGATCGCTTCCTCTCGGGTTCAGGATGGACCCGTTTTCGGCAACTTCATAGCGATAAAACGGAGCTTTCTGAAAAAAAAGATAAGGAGCCTCAGGATGCTTCAGTCTGAAAAATATAGACGGATGATATAGATCAGGGGTGCACAACTCGAAAGACTGTGAGGGTCACATTTATTTTTTTTACCTACCGCGTGCCCCAACTACTCAATGATTCCATAGCTGTGACCAACAAGGCAGGGGCAATAGTAGTACAACGCCACCAATCGTGGCGGGACGCGGTAAATGGCCTCGCGTGGCGCATGTTGTGCACCCCTGATAAAGATAAAATCGAGATATGCGAACACCTACACCATTCCTCAGGTATTCGAAATCGTATATTCGTAAACTGTGTTACTTGAATGACAGGAAGGCGAAAAGTGCGGCCCTGAAGGTCCCGATAGGCACTCTCGGGTCGAGGCAGAGGAGGTAGAGAAGAGAATCCCAGGTGGATGGACCAATCGTTCACTTTCACTGGACGAGGACATGGCGAAGGACACGCCTGGTTGTAGTACACGCTCACGTGCAGGCTAAGAAAGGTAAACTCTCATGGGGAAGCCATAATAACCTCCTTCCAAATCTCTTCTAATTGTTTCACTTGACCCGGAAAGTTAAATAATTTTCGACCTAAAGGGCCTATTAAGCAATTTGCAATGTTATTTGAGGAGGTGACTAATATTACAATAATTTTTCCCCATCTCGATGATAAGGAAGCAATGTAGTTATCCGAAAACTGACATAGGAAATGTACTCTTGGAAGAGACGAGAAGTAAAATGAAGGTTTACTTGGGTCTGTTTGCTAAACTGAGAGAGCCTACTTGAAGCTTAACCTCCCAACCGAGTAAGGAGCTTCTCCAGTTTTGATGGTTTTGAAGTTGAGTAATGGAACTCTTTGCGTTTGCCATTCCACACCCAAAGACCACTAAAATAAGTAAACGCTCTTCGATCATTCTGCATGGCTTTGGCGTTTTTCTGAATTATCGTTATGTCATTTCCTTAGCTGTGCGAAGTAAATGGTGATGTTCATTCATGTCCGTGCGTATGTCTAGACGGGAGCATGTCGAGTAGCCATAAAAGAGAGAACACCAATTATGTCACCATACCAGCGAAGGAATGGATATTAGGCCCCCCCCCCCCCCCCCGTTTCTGTTGCAGACACGTTCCTGTTTCTTGTCATTTTTCTGAGAACTCAGAGAGGAACAAGGGAATTCAAGACTAAGATAACTTCCAGCCTTCTGCCAAAAAATCAAAGTTTAATTTAGCGACAAGGAACTAATCTCTTCTCATCTTGTCCCAAGTATGGCACATTTTTATACTTATATACAAATGTACGTGAGTACTGCGTCAGAGAGGTTTGATTTTTTGGAGATTGAGCGAGGAATCCCCTTTGAAGAAAGACGATCCGCATCTGCTCGATGATGATCCGATATTCTCCCATCTCCTCCTCCAATGGATCCATAAAAACGTAGAGGAACCGCCGCCTGATCAAATCCGGATCTGCATGATGAACAGTTCGTGCTCGTGAGATGAAAGTGATATGAGGATGGATTTCTGACAGGAATAGACTATATATTGAAAACTCTCAGACAGGTTTTAGCAGATGGTCATTTGTCAAGTGACGTACGTGGAAAGAGTCTGGCTACAGAAAGTGTTACTCGACATACTCCATTTTTCGGTACCAATAAGCAGAAATTCTTTTGGGACACGTAAGAGTGTCAAATGAAGCATTTTTTCTTGTCATTTTTCTATGTGCACAGGAAATCCATAAAAGGTTCAGAAAACTTGATATATCAGGATTTATTACATGTGCCCAAGAGTTTAACACATTGCCATGTCATCCACATGTGGCAGTAAATATATATTTTCACTTTGTTGGAAGTGAAATGGTGGATGTGGTGGTTTGCAGAATTGAAGTCGCTGCACACAGGTGCAGCACATGTTCAGAACTATTTGCAGAAAGTATCCTCGTGTCCGCGATTCCATTTACCGGTGGATGAAGCAATTTAAGGGCACAGTAGATGTCGGATAGGCCTTCAACATCAAATGCCATGTTGAAGCTTACATGAAGCCTTCAGCGCAACCCCAATAAAGTCTGTTCGCCGTGCCAGCGGAGAATTGCGGATGCAAAAATGTAAAACATCCATCGGTACATGGAGTCATGGACAGGAGAATCCATGCTGTAAACAGTTCTGAACTTGCGCCACATTTGTGTGACTGACTTCCAATTCCACAAACCATAACATGCACCTGCCTTTTCTATGATATTATGATTTTTGATGTACAAGTTATAAAACTTGAAATATGAAGCTTTCCTTTGCTGCAGTCCTCGTATATGTACGTTCATTTCTTATGGACTTCTTAAAGATTAAATTCGTCTGAATCTTTTACGGACACTGTACTGAATTGATCCGGGTCTCACCTCTTTCTTGGAGAAAGTGTAATTGCTATTGATTGTCACCAATATTGAAAAACATCTTATACGTAACCATGCGCATACGGAAAGGCAACGACCGTTTTGAGAAGAGAGGTTCCGAGTTGTTGGTCCCGTGACACGATCAGGATCCCGTAATATCCGAACGTCACCCGTTTCGATGCCTCCATCATCGCCAGAAACTGAAAAATATTATTCAATATATCAAGTAGGAAAGATATTGGGTAGGTATATTCTTTCAACTTTCCATTTCGAATTTATAAATATCAATTTGTCATCGGACTTCGATTAGCACTATTGTAGTCGCCAAAAATTCAGCTGTGATGAAACGAAGAAAGTGCTGGACATTGATCTGTGATATTTTCTTTGACCTGACCATTCCGAGCCATTCCCCCACCCTCAAGATAAAGTATGCAGCCATTTAATTAATTAATTATTATTAATTCTCGCGCTCCAATTGAGCGACATATTCTCCTAACCAACACCGATCGGTTGGTTTCCAGCCTTTTTTTTTATCCATTTCCCGGTGAAACTCAATTTAATTAATATTTTTATTTCGTTCGATGCTCAACTCTTACACATTCTCGGGTCGCGGGGTTTATTCTTTGAAGTGAGTCTTCCTCTCCAAGCAGTATTAATAGTCCCTTTTGGAAATGTAGACTAACCGATTGCATGCTATCGTCGTCTCTCAATCCGAAGACTAGTGTTGATATGGGCTTTTCCTGCAGAGTGTCCAACAGCATCTGTCTCTCTCCTTCACCTTTAAAAGGGTCGTTTACTCTCGTATATTTCAAGTGCATAATTTGACATACTCGCTTGCGATCTTTAATTTTGAAATCTATCTTAGGTCTAACTGTAGGACTGGTAGTCGAGCAAGATGATGACGTGCTGAAACCCTTCAGCCACGAAGAATTGCGCAAGGAACTTCCCGAAATCCGCTGTCCAAGGTGGCGCAGAATATTCCTCTATTGAAGGAACCCAGTCCTCTAAAGAACATAATCATATAATACGTAACGGGAAAGAGCGGAAGTCTATCTGGATGTCTTGGTAAGAATAAAACTATTTATCTTATTTAGAGACGTGGAATATTGGTAAGAACTGATTTTAAGTTTTAAAATTGAATACAAGATTCAATTTTAAAAATTGTTAACCTTGGGAAACCTGGGATAGGAGGAGGAGGAGGAACGAGGCGGAAGTTGAGAAGAGCATGGTCTCCATGGATGCTCTCACCACAATACACCTCTCGTTTGCCTCTCTCTCCGCTCTTTATCTTCCTCTTCGAAAGTATGAAAGGTGCAGCCGGGTTTCAAAATTCATGAGCGTCCAGGTCGGAAGGAAATGATCTGGAGAAGTATGCAACCAAAGAACCACAAGAGACGTAGAGGCGAATGTCACGCCAAGGAGTCGTCTTCTTGTTGACTCCCTGTTGTATTATTGAGTTTTAACGATGGTCTGCTCGCATCAGATTTCTTTCCTTTTACTCTTTGCTGAAACGCGTCCTCGTCTATTAATTATTATATACTATACCCAATCTATTTGAAACAACTTTCCTAAGGTTATGTCCGAAAATGTGAACATCTCAACTTTCGTGTATCATGGATAATCCAAACCAGTCTTCCGTGTGCAATTCCGGAGTGACATCACTCGGCGAGTGCTTCCTTCATAATTTCGCATAATAGGCGTTACTGTTACGAAGGCACAAGGATTCTCTTTTTTTTTTACTTTGTGAAGTTCCACCTGAGAAGCCGCAAGTTTGGTATTGGTATGTTATTGCCCACCACAAATCTCTGAGCTTGTTAATCCATGAAGTGGACATCAGGCATAAGTCTGGGCCCACATGTGTCTTCTACATGTTAGTAGCGTTGTTCACAATGCCTAAATCACAATGCCTAAATCCTTTTCTTTCATAATATATTAATGTTATTTTGTATATATCGTTTGTCATATATTTACGTAATTGTAAAATGTCATTTCTGGTTTGCTTTTTTCCGGACTTAGAACGTGCCTCTGACGGAAGTTAATATAAACTTTAAGCTCAGGACTTTTAGGGTCGATTTTTGAACAGAGAACTATCCGATAATGCTGCTTTATTTACCGGATTTATAATGCATTTTCTCTGAAATAAAGCAGAATTATCGGATAATGCTCTGTTCAAAAATCCACCCTACAACTTTTAAACCTCTTGTAAAAAAATTAGGACGCATTCCTGGGTGCTTTTTTTCCCGTCCAAGTTCTTCGTAATTCCGTTTTTCCGTCGGGCTAGTTCCTGGTAGTGTAGAATTCCGTCGTTTCATTCCGGCGAAAGGACGTTAACTTCGACATTCTCCGTTTCGACTTCACTATATTGGGACATCATTGCGTAATCTGCATTGCTCGTCTGAATTCGGGACAGATTCGTTCTCCAAAGAATTTTTCATAAAGCGGTGTTGATGATGTGAACTGTCTGAATTTCGTTCTCTTTCTTCTGAGATAAATTAGAAGTGTGCTAATTTTTTAACCAGACCGAATTTCGCAGCGTCTTCTATTGCGATACCTATTCTGATTTTGGGAAAATCCATCAGCTTTCAATGGGAGCGATGGAAGTAATGTGAACGATAGCAACAGAAGGTTCATGGTTACATCGCATTTATCGGTATTCCTCAAATTTGTCAGGTGTTGAAAGGGACTGGGAATCCGGAGAGCCTCCCTGTTGGAACTCGTTTTGGTTCTTCGATCTCCGGATTTCTTCTTCGAGAGAGGCAGTTGATATTCCTTCGTTCGTTCTTTTCAACCTTTTAATTAAATTGAAATATTCTGCAAAAAAATGTCAAGCATATTAGGCTTTCGGGCGGAAATAATAGCTAACTGCTCTTGTCGTGGCGTACGATTCAGAAAAATGCTTTGTGTTGAGTCCTCCATGGCATGTTCTCACTCGAGTGGAATGGGAGAAAAAATGAATCGTGATCGAAATGGAAAGGTTTCAAAGTGAATCAACAATCTTCCCAATCTCATGGGAATCACCTACTCCACCACCACCTCCCCCCTCGCTCCTGAAATAGTAGGAAGAGGGGATGGGAGGAGCGATCCTATTCCTTCCCTGTACTGCAGGAATTTAAGACAAAATGAACACATGCAGGAGCGTCCAGCCTGCTTGTGAACGCATCATATTACCTACTTCATACCTTTCTTTGAGAATATTTTTAGGAATTTATCATGTTGCCTTCGCCATTCTGAAGTGAATATTTCTACGCTTACATACCCCAGTCCTGATCATGATATATAGTCAAACCCAGGATGATCGGCTCAATATTGATCGTGTTTATACGGAATACGAGTCATTCTCAAAATGGTGCAGTACGGGAACTGGTTCAGCGTGCTCTTGCTTTCACGGTCAGGGATTGTTTCAGTCTGTAGTAGAGCAGGAGAAGTTTGTATCTCAGGTTCCCACGCCACACGAGCCATTCCATCCCAAACNGAGAAGTTTGTATCTCAGGTTCCCACGCCACACGAGCCATTCCATCCCAAACGCCACGGCTAATAAGGAGAATATTCCAATAAAAATGCTGCTTCTAATCACTACGGAAGCTGTTCGTGCTTAGAGGTAGTGAGAGAAAGGGGACTTCCATTCCCGGCAAAGAGCGAAAAAGGATTATTTCAGGAATTAGCATAGTTGCAAGTAAAGTAGCTGTATAGTTAATATATGGAGCGAAAAGGAACGTGCTTGCGATGAAGATTCCGGCGCCAAGAAGCGCGAATGCGCTGGACATCCTCCGAAGGGCAAGAGTCTTCAGTTTCTGGTGGTACCCTGTCTCCTCCGTGTCCTGGATACCCAGTTGCGATTCCTGTCGCGTGAATTCGTCGTCCGTCAGCTTGTACATGATCCCCGATTCCCACAGGTGGATGAGGCTGCGTGAGAATGGGTAGCAGTGAAGCATCTCTTAGCTCTTTGACGTTACCAAAGCATTCGATAAGGTATGGCACCCAGGGCTAATCTATAAACTTCACTTTCTTTTTAAAATCCTCCTGCGATTCTTGCGCTGGATAGCCTCATATCTGTCGAGAGAACCTTTAGTGTCAGGCTCGGCAACTCCTTTCCCGAATCCTTTTCCCCAACAGCGGGAGTTCCTCAGGGATCTGTGATCGCTCCGCTTCTCTTTATCCTTTACGTTAACAATCTATCCTCCTCTTTACCTCGTAAACTCGACATCCACGTAAGCCAGTATGCAGACGACACCGCCCTCTGGCTCTCTGACAGAGAGGTCGCAGTCCTCGAGAGAAGGGCCCAGGCTGCAGTCTCTTCTCTCTCTAACTATTGTTGCGTTTGGCGCATCGCCATGAACCCCTCCAAATCCTCCCTCATTCTCTTTGCTCGAGATAGTAAACCCTACAGTGTCAGCATTCACATGAACAGGAATATCATCCCTCAGTCTCGCTCGACCCGTTTTCTTGGAATACATTTCTCCAGCAATTTTAAATGGAATAATCATGTAGATGTAATCCGCGCCAAAGCTACAGGAAACTTAACTGCCTAAAAATCCTCTCTGGAGCCAATAGGTGGGAACCCCATGTAATCCTAAAACTCTATTGCACCTACCTTCGCCCTGTTCTAACATACCCCTTGGTGCCTGGGCTAACTGCCCCGATGCGGTCCTCAGCCCGCTTGAAAGAATAGAACGAGCTGCAATCAGATATGCCTTTCGACTTCCTACTTATTATTCTAACTCTTATATCTATCGAATTAGCGGACTGACACCTCTCCCCCAACACGCCTCTGAATTAGCTTAACTTAATTTACTTAGTTACTTAATTAATGAACTACTTCAACGACCCTAAAAGGCCAGGAGGCATTAAGGAAATACCCTCAAAATTAAATTTAAAATTTACCATTGGGCGCTTCAAGCATAGAAAAACCTATCATTTCCATAAAATTCTTGAACGCCTCGGAAAGAGTTCCACTTTAACTCCCCCCTGCCCCCCTTCCCACCACCTCCCCTCCACGTGAGACTACCCTTTCTCACTCACCATCCATAACACAATGCCCTCATCTCCATCACCACCTCTCTCTCTCATTAAAATGGAAAAAAAAAATCCAGACTCCCACGCTTCTTCACATTCATCCCTGCGGCTACCTCCCCCCTTGCACAAGATGTTCTAATCCGCTTGGCATGAACCCTCAAACTTCCCTTCGCGCACCCCCAACTAACTCTCAGCTCTTACTTTCGCACGCGGACACCTGAGAAGGTCCTTCCGGCCAGCTGGATCCGCAAACGCCTTTTGATCTTCGGGGCATCTGTCCTTAACCCTTCCGATAGGATGAAAATTTAATATCGACTTAAATAAAATCACACCTTACTGACTCATGAAGTAAAACGGCTATAGATTTCATTCTTGTTCAGCTCAGGTGAAACTAAATACTAAGCGCCCCAAAACACTGATACTAACCTAAATAAATTCAGGTTGCTTTCTCAATAAGGCCGCAATAAGACCTTACTCTTTAATTAAACCCCTAAAGATAAAAAAAACCTCAAGGGAAAGATCTTGGGGGAGAAGCAGCTCTCTCTCGGGTTGACTTCTCCCCCATAGCCATGAGTCACCTTCTCAGGGCTAAGTCATTAGCTTTATGAAGGTCTTGCTCTCTGCCAGCCCTCATATTGGGAGGATCTCACTATGGTGGGCGAGAGTCATGTGTCGGTCCACCACATGACAGCGGGGCCCACCATACCTTTAGCTCCAAACTTTATAATAATAATTAAAAAATTACCAGCTCCACAAGTACTATGTTATCCCTGTCCTAAATGGAAGAGAGCTCCTCTGAACATCTGCTCCTTCTCCCGAGGTTCCGTTACAAGAGAAGGGAGCAGCGGGTCATTTTGGTACTGTTGAGTGCTGTTGAGGATGAGTATTCGTGTACTCGTCTAACCACCATAGAGTTCTGAAGTATGGGAGGGAGTGGGAGATACAGTGTATCAATTCTCTTCACAGGTGCTGATATGGCTCGTTAAATACTCGTGAATGCTAGGGGAAAATTAACATAAATCTTAGGTAAAATGAATGTAAACATGCTGTTTTGAATGCAAACGGGGATGTCAATTTTAAGTAAAATTTACGTTAATTTTATATCACCGTTTACGTATCACAGAGGTGACATTTCTGCAAACATGTTGACATTATTTTGACAATGGTTTGCGTAAAATATATATAAAATGGACAAAAATGTTGCTTTGGACGACCTTGAGGCCTGGCGGGACTTCTGAGTCCCTGTGACTTCTTTTGGAATTTGTATTTTTGCGGTCAATGACGTTTCATTGTGGACGGTTCAGTGAGAAAAATTTGTATTTCCATTATTTATATATTTAAATTCGGGACTGAACGGGCTGAATTTCATACGTTTTGTCGAATGCAGGAAGATAAGCGGAGCCCCATTGCATAGCGATCGCTTTATACTTGATGAAGAACTTTTCCGCATTCACGTGAAGGACTTCCCTTTCTTCAAGGAGAAACAAGTAACGAGGTCACGCAAGAGGAGCGTATTAGGCGCAGTATATACCCGAAATAAGTTTCCATACCCTTTCCGGCATTGACCTGAGCAGCGAAATAGTTGAGAGCTATGCGTCCCTCACTGCACACTGTGGGGATGCCATCCGAAGGGGAGAGGACGCCCTGGATGCAATCTTCGATGTTTTCCACTGTGTAACCTCCTTTCTGCAGCAGCATCTTGTGGAAGATGCTCGCGTACACCCCTGTTCCTGTCTGCAGCCAGAATCAATCTCTTTGAATACAGTCCCTGGGAGTCTGATCAAGCAAGAGTCTCACGTTAGTCCTCATTCTTTAGTAATTGAGAGGAAGTGTTGGAATATGCAGGGTGTCCATAAAGGTATGACCCAAGAAGAAACTGTTATTAGTCAGAAGCAAAGTACATGAAAACCATGACACATAAACTCACTGCCTTTGTATTTTTTGTGGTAAGGCCTTTTTCATGAATGTCAGTCCTCCACGTGTCCACCGTCTCGCTGACGATATATAATTCCTAGTGGTACGAGGATGCATCCCACATCTTCGCTAACATTTCCTGCGTGAGACTGGAGAATGCTTTCTGTATGCGCTTCCTCTGTCACATCACATTTAAAAGGTGTATGCCGAGAGACTATGATGAACCTCATGTGTGGAGGAGACTATGATGAACCTCATCATAGTCTCCTCCACACCACCGCATGTGTTGTGGACGAGGGGCGAATTTCTTGGCCAAGATACTTTCCAAATCTCGCACCTATGGACTTCATCGTCTGTGGTGTTATGCCAACGAAAAGGTCCATGCCAAGAGACTGCGTTCTATGGCAGACGTAAGGAACTGCATACAGAAACCACTCACCAGCATCACACAGGAAATGTTAGCGAAGACATGAGCGGCAATCTCGTACCGCTGGATATTACGTCGTCAGTGAGACGTTATTGCTGGAATTTCTGACAAAGACCTTAAATGCTCTAAAAAAAAATGTTTTGGCATTTGTAGGCAAAAATGTTCATGTATGGAGGACTTCATGGCAATAAAGTACTTCGCTGCTGAGCGATGTACTATGCTATGATGTATCATTTTTGAGTCATACCTTTATGGACATCCTGTATTTTTACGCATCATTATGCCTCAGCCCGCTTAGGAAAGGGTTAGAAGAGCTTACGACGAAGAATTCGGAAGTAGAGCTCTCCTCGACAACAATGGCTTTCACATCCCCTCCCCCCATAGCTTCATCCAGTTCTGCTAAGGTCTCCATTGGCTGGACTGAGAGATATCATTCCTGCTATAACCAATCGACGTTAAAAGTTGCTAGGATTGCATAATAAAGGTCGATACCTTTTCCCGGATCGCTGTAGAAAGAAACGAGGCTGGCTCTTATCAGGGTACCCATAATCAGAGTATAGGAGAAGAAACAAGCCATGAGGACTCGACCGGGATTCCCATGGGGCACCGGGACGCTATCTGCAATTACGGGACATCCCATCACCCCGGAATTGGGGTCAATGACTTCGTATTGGCACTGACGTTCACATGCCTGTTCACCAATATTATTATTGGTGTTGTCCAAGGCAGACAGTGCGGCATTGAAGCGTGTTTCCTGAACCTAGAGTAACTGTGTGGACTGACTTCATTCGCGGAGATATTCCTCCTACGTAACCGCGGCTACGGTGCTGTGAGTCCTAGATGCAAGGACGGCCGTTTGTGCTTCAATTTCATTTAGTTTCGTTGGCCTCGTTTGGAATTCCGAAAATTTTGTATTTTCTCTTTCGAATTTAACTCAGTAAATCGCTACACGAACCTTGTTGAAGAAATCCTCCAAAGGCAGCGAAGAAGGCTCTCCACAGGACATCCTTTCTCTCCCCAGCGGCCCATTGAAGACCGGCGTGAGCGACAGCGACCAATAAAACGGAAAATAGTAGGAGCGTCCAGCCCTGATAATACCTCAGGAATTCAATCTCGTGATAAAGGAAACAAAATGATTATCCTTCCACTAACCGGTGAAGCAATTCCAGTGACTTCGAAGAAGGCTGGGTCTTCGGGTGGAGGGGCCCTGCTTATGTAACCGTTAAGCCCTTGCAGCGTCGGAAAGGAAAATTCCACGGCTATGTTCCTCTCATACGTAACGGTCGTGTCGTCCAGAAACCACTCGTAGTCCTAGAAGTAAAACGTTGAAACAGCTGGAAACGCTTACAGATATTTCCTTCTGGAAGCTGAGTCTAGCATAGCATGAAAAACGTTAAAACAAATCATAAAAGAACCCTACCCTGTTCATGATGCGACCGAGCACACCGGGGAAAGTTCCGTTCACGAATTCAGATCCTTTTATCCTCTCATTTTCGAAAAGGACCCAGCTGTAGAAGAAATGCCCGAATGAGAAAACTCTAAGCCATCGCTGGAGATGAATGAAGAAGGCCTGTATGTAAATAATGAAACTTTGTCGGGGCAGACATTCTGTAACTTATGGGGTTGGGCGTGTCACATGGATGAAGGCAAGAGGGTTAAAAAACGTTCTGGGCAAGCTCTGTCCAGTAGTGGGCCTCCTTTCATTTTGTCACTTACTTGAACAAATTGCCATCTCTTTCCCGCTCTCGACCATCTAAAATCTCATTTTTCAGATAGATTTGGCAAACGGCGCCACACTGAAGGCCTGGGTCTAACGTGCATGCTCATTGTGACCCAGATCCTGAAGGGCTCACTCATGCCTTCCCGTCCGTGACCAAATTTCAAATAATAAATTTGCAATAAAAAAGCCAATTTTGGTACCAATACGCCACGATACGAACTCGGCTCGTATCTTGATAATCTCTACCTGCTTGCCAATTGGTCAGGCCAATATCTTTTTTATCGTCGGACAATCAGTGTGACACACGGACACACTGCCAGTCAGGACGGGACCATAAGTGGTCTCTTTCAGGTAAGGAGGCCCACTAGAATGTAAAGGAAAGGTTGCTACAACTTCGACTCAGAATGCAAAACCTTTCGAAATAATGTGACATTTTTCCAAAGGTCATAATGGAAATGGAGCGCTTTTATCATGGCAGGCTAGATAGATGAGGAGAGGGGGCGGGGAACGGAAGAAATAGCAAGAGATTCATTGAAGATGGAACAGACGTGAAATTGAGTGCTTGCGCGAGTACAACGAGGACTTGGTGGTCTCTTCCTCTTGGGTTCATGATGGATCCGTTACCAGCTACCTCATAGCGATAAAACGGAGGCTTCTGAAATAAGAAACGCAGGAAAACCTTAGTATTAGATGGAAACGCAAAATTATTTTACGTTCGATTCCACAAGATTGTGAATAAATATAACGAGAGAAAAAATACTCCATAGAAACGATATCGCATTAAAACGTAAACTGTATTACTCGAAGGAGAGGAAGGCGAAAAGTCCGGCCCTGGAAGTCCCGAAAGACGTCCTCAGGTCGAGGCAGAGGAGGGAGAGAAGAGAATCCCCGGTGGATGGACCAATCGTTCACCTTCACTGGACGAGGACACGGTGAAGGACACGCCTGGTTGTAGTACACGCTCACGTGCAGGCTAATGAGGATAAAATTATTCCTCAGCCTCACTCCAAACGTAACTCGTAAATACTAAACCACACCCGTGTCCCACCGGATCTGCTAAAAAATTTCAAAGGGCATAAGCAACTCAGGGTTGATTTTTATTTAGCAGTAAGGGAAAATACGATTATTTATCAGATGTAGAGGTCGTCGTTCAAGAGACTGCGTAGTCCAAGCCAAGAGAGAGAGAGATGAAACTAAAGAAGGAAAGCATCGTCGGAAAAAGTTTTTCAACTTTGATTAATCAATTAACATGTAATGTATTTGCTTGCAAGCCGTGACAGTTACATATGAGACCACTCACCAACATACCTTCATAGGTATTTCTGTTAACTGAGTATTATCATGAAGATATACCAGGAAAACTAAATAAATGTCTGTTTTAAAGCTTTACCCATGGGCCACTTCTCATTTCACTGTGGTGGCATCCATCCGACTGCTGCAAAGTTTAGGCGTAATAGTGATCATGTTTGTGATTATATTAATGTACGGGGCTATTATAAAGTAAGATATATATGGCCCGACTTTGATGGGAATCGATTGGGGGTCCTCGGAGAATGAGTGAGGAAAGCCCATTGAAGAAAGACGATCCGCATGGGCTCGATCGTGATCCGATATCTTCTCATCTCCTCCTCCAGTGGCTCCGTGAAAACGTAGAGGAATCCCCGCCTGATGAGATCCTCCGCCCGGATCTGCATGATGAACTGCTTATGCTCAATTTTCGTTCAACTTGCTTTCCTCACGATATAGGAGGAACATGAGCAACATTTATAGGTTAAGCAAAAGATCCATTTTTTGGAGCAAAAATTATCGCAAGAAATAATGGGCCATGTATGGCCCATGGTATTTCCCACACCTCCCTCTCCTCCTCCGTAAGCCGGTCACCGAGCGCCTGAGTTTCCGGCGAGGAGAAGAAGATGTGTACCCAATCGAAGCCTGGGTAGGGCCCGGCTGGGATCGAACCCAGCCTCCCGGACGGCACGCGGACGCTCTGCCATACTAGGCCATTTCCGCCGGTTAGAAACTTGACGTGGGGAAGGGGCGGGTATGTCGATGGCTGAAGCAGCCTCGAGGCAAAAAGGAAAAAAAAAAAAACAAAACAGACATGTATCGAGGTAGACACGTCTGCCTTGTTCCCCGTGTCCCATAATCCATTTCGATTCCAACTCAGTATCACCATAGAGAGTGTAACTAAAGGCGACACTCCTACTGCAATCCCATTTATTGATTAGTGTCGCTATAGATGCTGTCATCCATCGTCCAGCTAACGTGCGAGCATCAATAACTCCTCCATGGCCACGCAGCGGACCCAACGAGACACGCGTGTTTACGTTGAGGTACTCCCTTTGGATCGCATCCCCGAATGAGCCGATTCCTGAATCCCGCTGCCGCGAAGCACGCCTCACGCACGGAAGTGCTGCTGATATAAAGCCATCGGATGTCTCTAGTATTTGGACCCATGCCCCCCCCCCTCCTCCTCCTCGGAGTCTCGCCTCTGTTACACTTTCTATGGTTATCGTCGTTGTCATTTACTTTTTACTGTTTATGAAAATTATTGAATACGCGAATTGCAAGTCATGTATCGAACTATCGGGGGGAAAAGTCCAGCTAGCTCTAGCTTACATCAATAAAAGGACATTGGAAGCCTTTTTATTGACTAGGCTTTACATATTGTCTAGTCAACATGAGCTGATTCACTTATCGCTAGAAATAAATTATTTTTTTTTAATTGGCCAGGGCTCAAATTGAGCAACATTTTGCAGAGGCGACTGGGGGGGGGGGGGGGGAATCGAAAATACTATCGTTCCTAGGAGCACGGAAAGGGCCTGACCGTTTTGAGAAGAGAGATTCCGAGTTGTTGGTCCCGCGTCACGACCAGGATCCCGTAATGTCTGAACGTCTCCCGCTTCGACGCCTCCATCGTCAACAGAAACTGACAGTAAAATTCAAAGTCAATTATAGGACAGGGAAAACAAAGGTCAATTTACGTTCATGCATAATAGAGCCAAGATAAATTAAAGGTCTTCTTGTTCCCCGATATCACATCGAAGTCGAACGTCAGCGCATTTTTAAAATTATTTTTACCACCTACGGTGAACTATCGAAGAACTAATTTTTATCGAGGTATCTCAGCGAAATTAAAGCGCTTTGGATAAAAGTGGACATACCGATTGCATGCTATCCTCGTCCCTCAAGTTGAAGAGTAGAATCGTTATGGGCTTCTCTTGCAGAGCCCCCAACAATGTTTGTCTGTCTCGATCACCTAATAAACAGAGATGACCATGCAAAACAAGTGTAAATTCATAATTTCGGTTTTTAGTTTTTTCTTATTATCGTAGAGTCTAACTGTAGGACTGGTAGTCGAACAAGACGATGGCGCAACGAAAGCCCTCGGCCAGGAAGAACTGAGCGAGGAACTTCCCGAAATCCGCCGTCAAAGTAGGTGCTGGATGTTCCTCGATGGGAGGGATCCAGATCCCTGTGTAAAACGTTACATTAAACAACTCAATTAAGGGGAAAAATCAAACATCTTAAATGTGTATATAGTATCATCCTCGGCTTAAGTGACAGGGAATTAATCAATAAACGCCTCTAACGGCAAAGAGGGACTGAGAGAGAGATGGGAATCTGGTTCTCTTATGCAATTGGGAGACATGGAAATACTGGTAAGAAACAAGGGCGCTGTGGGAAACGAACCCCTTGATTTTCAAGCAAAAAATTCTTACCATGGGAAACCTGTGGGAGGGAAAGGAGGAGGATGAAGGAGGCGGAGAAGAGCATGGTCTCCATGCCCGCGCCGCAATGCACCTCTCGTCCGCCTCCACTGCGTTGGAAGTGCAGCTGGGTTTCCAAAATTGGCCTTTCCAGGACGGATTCGTCTCTGTCTGATATGATCGACTGCAGACATTAGATTCGTCCTCTGTTTTTTTAATGAGCCCACGCAGCCTCGCCTATGGAAGGGCCTTTTCTTCTTGGGATTAGTAGTTGGTGACAGTTACAGGACAACTGGAGTTAGGAACTGAATGGAAATTGAACAGGAATCGATTGAAGTCGCATGTTTAATGTCGATACAAAGTTAGCGACGGAGAAATTGACGTTCCTTCTGCTAAGACCTTACTTTTAACCTTAGCAGTATCTTTCATAAATATGAAAAAGAACTTCCATTGTAATAATCGGCCACAATTGATAACTGCGGCATCAAGATAGGAATCTTCTTTTTAAGTGAATAATCGGTTACACGAGCCTCATATAAATGTGTAATGACCCTGCTAACGTTGGTAAGTAAGTTCATGGTGTCGAGGAAAGCTCGTAGGAAACGCGCGGAATGGCTTACAGTGAAGACGCAATTTCTCCTTAGCTTCAAAGTCGATACACGCTGAAGTAGCTGTGTCGATCGTTCGGTGATTGGGATGCATGCATTAGCCGGATTTGGCCCACGCATCAATCTCACTTAGAATGAGCAGCTCGTCCTGGATGGCCCAAATCCATCTTCCTTAGGATGTACAGCTTGAACTGTAATCAGTGAAACTACCCTCTTCCATAATCTGTGTCAAACCTATCATTCACTCAGGCAGATTAAATATTGAAGTTTAAATTTGCGATTAGATCAAGCTGAAAAACAAATCTCTAATTTGTGAGACGTCTTTTCCGAATCATAATGTTATTCTATTCTTTCTCACAACTTTCAACTCATTCTGAGTAAACTCGAGGCCATCAGTCGACAGCTTTCTTAGACCTAGCACGTCGGGTAGCAGAACTAGGTGGAATTTCGCGACACGAACCATTCCATCACAAATTTATATAAACTCTCGCAGAGTCATTTCCTAATCGCCAGGTACACTCTTTGTCCTTGGAATTCATCGTTTGTCAGGTAGATAGATCATCCCCGATTCCCATAGACAGCAAAAATTTTATTCTGCTTAGTATAGGCCCATAGTTGGAAGGGGATGAATGCGTGACTGCATATCCACAACATGCTAAGTAGCCATAAGTAACTTTAAACATTATATTTAAATGTTGCGAATAAGTATTTTTTATTATGACGTCATTGATCAGAGCTGACGGCCTGCAACAGTACAACGTGGGAAAAAATAATGTAGAAGTGTGAACTGAGTTGTGACATGAGGTATGGAATTCTGAATTTTGACCGCGAGGCGCCGTAATACTGGATAATGATGAAATTACTGGAAACTGGCAGTATTAAAAAATTACTTTGATCGAAAGGTCTACTTCTGTTGAGGCTATGATTGTACCACATCTTCCGATATTTATATTATCAGGACTCCTTTACAAATCTGTTGTGGAACGTTTTGGAAACTGATTCATTCTTGATCCTGGTTGCCTCTTGCTTTGAATCTGCGATAGAGCAGAAAGCATTCGTAGCTCAGATCCCAGCAAGACACAAGCCATTCCACCGCAAACACCACACCTAACGAAGAAAAGATTATATGAAAAAGCAGCTACAAATTTTCGGCAACATAACATGCAGGAAAAAATTTGGGTGAGTGGAGAGAGGCTTCCATTTTTGTTAAAGAGAAAACACTCTCTTCTGCATTTATATGAAGTTAATACGTGTAGCAAAAAGGGACATGCCGGCAATGAAGATTCCGGCGAAAAGAAGAAAGAACGCGCTGGACATCCTCTGGAGGGTGAAGGTCCTTCGCTTCTCGTGGGCCTCTCCACTCTCCGTGTGCTGGATCCCCAGTTGGAGCTCCTGCCTCTTGAATTCGTCGTCCGTCAGCTTGTACATTATCCCCGCTTCCCACATTCGGGCGAGGCTGCATGTAAAGCGATGAATATGCATAATTGATCGTGACCTTGGGAAAAATGTTAACTACAAAAAGTCCGTTAACCATGTTTGATTATTTTTCGGAAGGGGCGTAAAAGAACTCAATGGAAAATTTGTAGATGCCTCGATGATTTCTGAAAGCTGAAACCCTCTCAATGATTGAGACTTGACGAAACCAAAACTGTTGTTTGTTTGATGAATAACGTTCATATCCGTGCACCTTGCAATTTGAATAAGGGTCGTTTAAGAGTGAGGAGGGGAGAAAAATTAATGGTATATGTTATGTATGGGTGCGTATAAGCGAGCCTGTCACCTATGACCTCTGATATACCTCCCTTTAAATCAAAAACCCCCGTGACATCATGGGAACCTTGGGAGACCCATTTTGGCTCTAATTCAGATTTGACCTTCACCACAATCCCTTTGGCGTGGCACAGCAGAAACTGGAATGATGAATGCGGCCGTCATGAATACGGCAGGGTTTGAACTCGGAACTACTTTGAAGCCAAGGCAACTTGGCTCCGGTGACATACGTCCCAACAGTGAGAGCGCTAGAAAATTGAGTTGTGAAGTTTTCCAAGGATACTACAGACGAGCGGAAAGGGATATTATTATACATAGCGATATGTAGATATGTAGCGAGCGAGTTTTCAACGCATTTAGCCTTCGAAGATTCAAGGAAATGGTATAGAAATGCCTGGCCACTGGATACTTCCACACATAAGACAGAATTCGAAACAGAAACAAAATTACATTTTGTCGAAAGCATCAAGATAAGCGGCGCCCCATTGCATAGCGATCGCTTTATACTTGACGAAGAACTCTTCCGCATTCACGTGAAGGACTTCCCGTTCTTCAAGGAGAAACAAGTAATCGAGGTCACGCAAGAGGAGCGTATTAGGCACAGTATATACCCGAAATAAAGTTTCCATACCCTTTCCGGCGTTGATCTGAGCAGCGAAGTAGTTGAGAGCTATGCGTCCCTCACTGCACACTGTGGGGATGCCATCCGAAGGGGAGAGGACGCCCTGTATGCAATCTTCGATGCTTTCCACCGTGTAACCTCCTTTCTGCCGCTGCATCTTGTGGAAGATGCTCGCGTACACCTCCGTTCCTATCTGCAGCCAGAATCAATCTCTTTGAAACTGATAATTTTCATGCACTCACTCAAGATTCGTGCGTTTTGTCATTTTTGCATTAATTCTTCCAGCCCAGAAAAACCTCTCAATACAGCAGGATCGGTAGTAATTGAGCTAATCGCAAAGATTAGGGGATGAACAGGTATATGAGATGTATCTATTAGCTAGGGAAACTAAATTATTGGTGGCTTCAACCAAGATGCTTCAGCCAAAGGGAGCTTACTTCGAATATTCCAGAAGAGGAGCTGTCGCGGACAACGATGGCTTTCGCATCCCCTCGCCCCATAGCTTCATCCAGTTCGATTAAGGTCTCCATTGGCTTGACTGAGAGCAATCATTCCGGCTGTAAGCAATCGATGTTGAAGTTGCTTGGAATACACATTTCGACAGGTTGATACCTTTTCCGGGATTGGTATAGAAAGAAACGAGGCTGGCTCTTATCAGGGTGCCCATAATCAAGGTGTAGGAGAGGAAAAAAGCCATGAAGACTCGACCGGGGATACCTGGGGGTACCGGAACGCCCTCTGCAATTACAGGACATCTCATCAACCTGTGATCGCTGTCATACCGTGGTTTTAAATCGGCTCCACTATTACCTCAGCGGTAGTAGAGTGGGATCTACAGGTATATCCGGAGTATTTAATATAGAAAGTATTTAAATCATCCGAAAGAATTCCAGACGCATACCAATTCAATCGGCTTGGTAGAAGAAATGGTAATGAAGGGATCTTGGCCATTTTACAAGATGATTATTATGTTGCTTTAAGCGTAGGACTTCGTCGTGATGCCTTTCTTAGAAGTTTAATTTTTCACATATGTGAAACACTTTTCTACCTAGGTAGAAAAGTGTTTCTTCTATTAGCAATTTCCGTGGCATTACTATAATAAAGAGCAAGCAATTGTTCAGGAAGTTTGTGTGTCCTTCCCCATTGATGGTAATGTTTTCGAGGGTTGATCTGTAGAAGTAGTTTCGTATCCGGACATTTACATTAAGTAAATGGCACAAAAATTATTCCAAAAATAGTAGCGCAAATTAAAAAAAAACTCTCCCAGCTAAGTTTCCGTGCGTTTCGTTTAGACTTTGAACCAAATATCCATTTGTTCTTAATTGTATTCAAATTGATTTTGGAACTGTTTGTAACTGGGAAGAGGGAAACCACGCTCAACGCTTGTTCGAAAGATAAATTTTGAATTTACATGACATTCAGTAAATCGCTACACGAACCTTGTTGAAGAAATCCTCCAAAGGCAGCGAAGAAAGCCCTCCACAGGACATCCTTTCCCTCCCCAGCGGCCCATTGAAGACCGGCGTGAGCGACGGTGATCAACAAACCAGCAAATAGGAGCAGCGTCCAGCCCTAATAATACCGCAGGAACTCGAGTCTTGTGATTAAGGAAAAGAAAATAATCATCCTCCCACTAACCGGTAAAGCAATGCCAGTGACTTCAAAGAAGAGCGGGTCTTCGGGTGGAGGGGCCCTGCTTATGTAACCGTTAAGCCCTTGCAGCGTCGGAAAGGAAAATTCAACTGCGATGCTTCTACCATCCGTCATGCTCGTGTCGTCCAGAAACCACTCATAGTCCTAGAAACAAAACGACTTCGTAAACAGCTGATATTTTGTTTTGGAAGTTGAAGCATGAATTGAAAATATTTTATTGTGTCATTATAAAATCAATATACCCTGTTCATGATGCGACCGAGCACTCCAGGGAAAGTTCCGTTCACGAATACTGACCCTCTTGTCTTCTCCTTTTCGAATAGGACCCAGCTGCAGAAGAAATGTGCGAATGAGAAAACTCTGAGCCATCGCTGGAGTTGAATGATGAAAGTGGGATAATGGAACTTTGTCAGGGCAGACATTCTGTAACGAAATATATAATTGAGTCATTGCTGAAGTTTAAATCGAATGATTAAAGTAGAGTGTGAAAAAAATGAGGTGGCATCCTCCTATTATGCGTATTGCTTTGTTGCATCAATTCCTTTTTGGTGTTGGGTGATTCCCATGCTTCCACAATTATACTTACTTATAACTTACAAAATTTATACTTGAGGTTCAGGAGATGGGATCTTGCCTATCGGTATTAATCGAATTAGTCATTATTATCCGAGCCACATCAGGAAATCACTTCGACAGGTCAGCTGGCCTCATTCTCCCGTGTAATAAAATGTATTGGCTGATTTATCGACGAACGACTCGACTTTCTTTTGTCATCCTGTAGATTTCTCCACTTTTCAACAATCAGACTTCACGAACAGTCTGCTAAAGTGTTGCAGACACTTTGCCACACCTCAACTGGTTGGATTATGGATGAGAAAGAAGCAAAATGTATTCATTTTAGATGGAACAGACGTGAAATTGAGTGCTTGCGCGAGTACAACGAGGACTTGGTGGTCTCTTCCTCTTGGGTTCATGATGGATCCGTTACCAGCTACCTCATAGCGATAAAACGGAGGCTTCTGAAAATAAACACAGGTAAAGCCATCAGATGGAAACACAAAATAAATGTCTTGCGTTCATTTCACATTATCTTGGAACAACAAAAAAACACGATTTCGTATGTCTTAAGAGTAGAAGTACTTGAATGACAGGAAGATGAAAAGTCCGGCCCTGGAAGTTCCGATAGACGTCCTCAGGTCGAGGCAGAGGAGGGAGAGAAGAGAATCCCCGGTGGATGGACCAATCGTTCACCTTCACTGGACGAGGACACGGCGAAGGACACGCCTGGTTGTAGTACACGCTCACGTGCAATCTATGGATAATTCCACGTTAAAGGTATTCCCAAGGAGATTTGGGTATAGCGATTGGTGTTAAATGAGCAGGCTGTAAAACAACATGGAAGTAAACCGTTTCAGCAACCTGGCTTTACGATGTCCGGCATGGAACTGTTATTTCAATTCATTTTTCTACATTCGCAGAGTTGGATGGCTTTTGAATTTCAAGTCCCAATCCCGTTTGTCGTCTTCCTCCTCCAAAAGAATAATTCCAGCAGGAGCAGAGGGAAAGAGAGGGCACTTTGCACTTGAGAAGTTATCGAAAATAAATCTTACTGTTTGGGAACAATAACGGTTGACCTGGACTCTAACCGGTGCATTCTCTCGCGGACAATTCGTTGTTTTAGCCATCAACTTTTCCTTTTCTTCAAACTTGGGGTGTTGTAAAACCTGAATACCCAAAAAATGCGTCTGTAACTTTCTTAGGTTCTCACGGCTCCTTATTGATAATAAACAACTTTTTAAAATAAATTTTACTATTTTGGTGGTTTCAGAAGAGGAGGAGGCTTGCCACTATAACTGCGTTTTGGATACCAAGTAGATATTATTATTTAAATTTATCAAGAATGGCGGAGAACGCCAAATTCAAAAGGGGCACCTCACTACTCTGGGGCAGAATCCCCTGAAACTTTGGTGTATAGGGAAATTGGTGATGGGATGACGGATTTTCAGCGTCGTACTGGATTGCTAAGGGACGGGAGTAGGCGAACGTGAATATTTCACAGCCGGTAATGGATCCAATACATTGACAATATATGAAAGTGCCTCGTACGACTTGGCACCGCTCGGAGAAAGGGTGCGGGGATCCCGTCGTCGAAGAAAGACGATCCGCATGGGCTCGATGACGATCCGATAGCTTCTCATCTCCTCCTCCAGTGGCTCCGTGAAAATGTAGAGGAATCCCCGCCTGATGAGGTCCTTCGTCCGGATCTGCGTGAACAGTTAATGCAAATGGGACAATGGATAAAAACTTCGGTTTAAAAATTAAGAAACTAGTCATTCGTCAATTTACTATAATATACAAATAATAATTTCTACATTTATCTTCGCTGGTCTCTTGTTTGGTCGTTTGTTGAAAAAAAAAATTGATTTGATGAAAATTTATGAAAAAGAAATTTTGATTTCAACTTCTTAAGTTTGCTATAAATTGACTAATTCAAGAAATAACAGGTCGACATGGCTCCAAGTTCTCGTTCGCTGGTCACCGAACGCCTGAGGGGTGGGGCCAATCTCTTCCCGGAGAATCGAAACATTTTTGCTGGGAAAACCTGAATGGGACGAACCGTATCTAGAAGAGAAGTTCCGAGTTGCTGGTCCCTTGTGACGACCAGGACCCCGTAATGCTTGAATGTCTGGTCCTTCGCCGCCTCCATCGTCGATAGAAACTGGAAAGTCAAAAGACGAAAAGGGATTTTGTGGTAATATAGGTTTTCCCGACGAATTTCGGCGAAAGGCAGGCAGTTTCCGCAGGTGACTTTCGATTTCCGCATTCAGGATATTTTCGGTGAATGATCATTCTTTTCTTAAGCAAAGAAAACACATTGACTCTTGCTGCAAATTTTGTTCTGGTCTCCGTCGTCCAAGTTCTACCTGTGTTTCTTCAGGAAGGAACACCTCACGTTTGACAACCGCCTTAAATGCAGAGCTGGCATATTCTGTCGGAAAGAAACCGGCAGAAACTTGACGCGAACGTTGGGAACGTCATCTGGGACCGAGCCTCGTTTGTGGGGTCTAACATTATCCATGAATGACATAAACTGGTTCATCTGGTAGCAAAATCATCATGTACATGTCACAGGAGCTCCTCAATGCCAGACCCCACAAACGAGCCTCGATTCCAGATGATTTTCCCTTCGCCTTTCTTGAATCCGACAAAACGCAAATCACCCATCAGAAGGGTTTTGCGTGGCTTTCGCCATGCACAAACATACTTGATCAGATACCTAAGGAGAGTACTTAAAGATGGGTAGAATAAGTCCATGTGTTTTCCTTTGCTGAGAAAAAAATAAGGACTATTCGCTAAAAAAAAAAAAAAAAAAATTATTTTTCTTTTTAATCCATCCATTTCTAATCTCTGAAAAATGTTATCCTCTCAAGATCATCCCAGCGAACCAGGCATTTCAGAAAGTCCAACGTTTTCAGATAAAAACCTTTTGCACAAAAAAAGTGAGTACATACCGATTGCATGCTGTCTTCGTCTCTCAATCCGTAAACCAGAACTGTTATGGGCTTCTCCTGCAGGGCATCCAACAGAATCCGTCTGTCTCCCTCACCTGAGATAAAAGATGATAAATTACTCACAAATTCTGCATTGTACCCATTAATTTTAGCGGTTTATCTTCGGTCTAACTGTAGGACTGGTAGTCGAACAAGACGATGACGCCATGAGAGCCCTCAGCCTGGATCAACTGTGCGAGGAACTTCCCGAAATCTGCCGTCCAAGTTGATGCTGAATATTCCTGAGGGATCCAGACCCCTATGGCAACACGACATTCAATGGTAAGAAGGATATTCTAAAACCAGATAATACATATAATTTATTTTAAAATTTTCCGTTTAGAAAACTAATCAATAGAGATGGATAATAAATGGAAAATTTATTGCGAAGGAACACTGGATCCATTTCACGCATTACTGCTTACCATGTGCGACCTGTGAGAGAAGGAGGATGAAGGAAGTGGAGGCGGAGAAGAGCATGGTCTCCATTGATGCCCTCACCACAATACATCTCTCGTTCGCCCTGCTCCTCCTCATCCCCCCCCACCTCCAACTCATGAAAATTGCAGCCAAGGCTTCAACATTCGTTGGCATCCAAGTCGGATTTGTCCCCGCGGAGGAAATGACCCGGAGTAAGGATACAAAGCTGCACGTAGGTCACGCGAAGAAGTCCTTTTCTTGTTGACTAAAGGCCACACGATCCGCTGCAGATATTAGATTATTTTTATTCTTAGCCCTGTACGTACCAGAGTAGCAGATCTGCAACAACCTGGAACGACCGACAAGCTACGTGCAAAAATAGTGCTTTTCTTTTTAATTTCTCATTCAGATCGATAAGATGTGCGGCAAAAAGGGACGCGCCGGCGATGAAGAACCCGGCGCCGAGAGCGGCGAACGACCCGTTGAACATCCGGACTTGAATCCAACATGAAGAAAATTAAATTATGCACACAGAAGTTCGCGTCAAGAAACGTGATTAGGCCACGAAGTAACATAAACACATGTATTAAGCAAAGCAAAATTTTCGTGCGTTTTATCGAGGACCTGGAGACCAAGGGTGAGTCTCTTCTGCGAGTCTGCATGGCCATTTAAACCTGATATCAGGCAGAAAAAGTCGGCCGGTTCCAGAGGTAGTGTTTTGCACTGCCTTGGGAAACATCAGAAAGTTTGTCGCAACATGCACGATCACTGCCTCATAAAGAAAAGAAGAAGGCGAAATGGTTTCGGATAAATTAAACATTTTCGAGGAAATGCATGCATTTTTCAACCGTGGGATCGATGAGTGAGAGGAAATCCATGCCAGACCATTGCAAAACCGTAAGAAAAAAAATATTTGTGTGCTTTTCTCTCTCTTCTCCCTGCGGCTGCAGTCTCGCAACGCCCAAATACCGTGAACTTATTATTATTCACTCCTGTAAACCTGCAAGAAACCTAATTGTCTTCATTGTGCATAAATATGGGTCAACGTGACTCATGGTGACCAAAACATTGGAATGGAAAGAAATGGCAGAAATGTGAGAACAAAGTCGCTTCATTGCTTTGCGATTACGGCATGGATGAAGACATCTATCAACGAAGACATCTATCAACGAAGACGATAAGCTTATTGTGTCCATGTGCCACATTCACGTCAAATGTGAGCGCAGATTAGACTTCAATAAAAATGGCGACGTATGGGGGGGAACCATACTTTTCTTCAGAAAATCTGCAATCTAATCCAATTTCTATTTTAGCGGTCTATTTTATTCGCAATTCTTTGTTTTCGTAGACTTTAGGTAAAAGACCTTATACTGCAGGCCTGATAGTCAAACAAGAGGATGCTGCTCTGAGATCCTTGGAAGGAACTTCCTCAAATCCGCGCTCCAAGTTGAACCCAAGTTGGCGCGCTTTGAAATCAAGATCAAGCAAAACAAGTTCAAACACTTACCCTGTGTCAGCTGTGAGAGAATGAGGCGGAGAAGAGCATGGTCTTCGTGGATGCCCTCACCGCAATGCACTTCTCATTCACCCAGCTTCCTCTCTCTCCTCCTCCACCTCCAACATCCATCGGCGTCCCGGCGGAAAGGAGGAGGAAGTCGCGCCAGCTCTAATCTGATATCGGATGTCGATATCAGATTATTTTCCTTTGTAATAATTGATGCATGAATTATAATAACGTGAATTATATGTTTATAGTAATAGCATGTAGCAACACGATTGGCTTTGACGCGTGGCAAGAAACACTTTCTACTGCATTCTCTGGAATGGGATGAGACATTCTTATCAATCTTGCATCTTGGAACAGGGAAATATCAAAGTTTTTCCTCTAATTACTGTTTTCTATTCAATTAACAGTTCTCATTTTAGAGCATCATTTATGAGGAAATTCCGATGAACATTTGACAGCAGATCCGCACAATTACACAAACCGAAAATGACTTTTAAATTATCTAAAATTGGATTGGGAAGGACGAGATGAAACAATAAAACTCAGGCAATAATGGCTCAAAAATATCGGGAGAAAAGCCGACTTGGCCCAAAATTGAGCGAAGCCGACATGGCTCAAAATTGAGCGAAGCCGACATGGCTCAAAATTGAGCGAAGCCGACATGGCTCAAAATTGAGCGAAGGCGACATGGCTCAAAATTGAGCGAAGCCATTCGCGGAAATCAATCGTCATCGAGAGAAATGGGGAGAAGAATCGCTTACTCGAGGGACGCAATGGAGTCACGAAAACAAATTTGATGGAGTCTGTCTTGTGACTGTTGAGCGTGACAGGTCCGATGCGTCGCCCTCCGTGACAATTTTAAACATTGAGTAATTTAAATAAAATTAAGTTAGCATATAAAGGATGGACACCATTGTTGTAACGGAGTCGCATCTGAAATAGCGAAAAATACGAGACTGCAATTAATCAAAGCTACCTGCTTCAAGTGATTTTTGGTTAACTAATTAATCCTTTCTTTTTTTTTTCTGGTCCAATTACATCATCAGACCCCGCCAAATTTCAGACCGCGCCAAATTTCAGGCCGCGCCAAATTTCAGGCCGCGCCAAATTTCAGGCCGCGCCAATTTTCAGGCCGCGCCAAATTTCAGGCCGCGCCAATTTTCAGGCCGCGCCAAATTTCAGGCCGCGCCAAATTTCAGGCCGCGCCAAATTTCAGGCCGCGCCAAATTTCAGACCACGCCAAATTCCAGCTCTCAGTTGATGAGACGCGGGTCCTTACAAATCGGAGACAAAAGCGGCGTCTCGTCGGCGGAAATGAAAGGCTTCCTTTCCGAGACCAAGCCGGCTCGCATGAAGTGATTCGAATGAAGACTCAGTCCTTTTGACAGAGGTGGGCAATCCACGACGAGCAATCCACGATGGGCAATCCAAGTAACGTCCAATCATTATGTGCCGATCGGCCGATTACTATCAGACCTCCATCCGTCAGTGTAAAACAAGATGGATTTAAAAAAATAATGATAATTCATTAATAATAATAATAATAATAATAATTCGAAGATAGGACTTCTCCCATGCCGAAAATGGATTTCTCGAGGAATTTTCCCTCTAATTCAGCCTGTGACGTTAAGGTTTTGGAGGCTCGACGTTAATTTTTTCGAACTGTAACTAACGAGTTCAGTCTCTGAAAAATGTAATATAAATTGCATTTAATTGAATTGCAAACTGATTGACTAATCGGAAAGACGACAAAATGGCTAAGCGCCTCGTTGGAAATTTCCTTCCAGCCGATTTGTTAAAAGGAAACCGTTTAAGGCTGAGACTGGAAGGATCCCTGCGCGGACGTAAAGCGGGCGCGGAATCGGGGCCTCCCGCGTCTTCGGCACGGGCCGTAAGGCGGGCGCGGAATCGGGGCCTCCCCCGCGTCTTCGGCACGGGCCGTAAGGCGGGCGCGGAATCGGGGGGGAACGCATTCTCCCATCCAATCTCTTTAATCTTCAATGAGGAACGTGAAGCTGCATCGACTCGAGGTCGATCTCGTTGTTTCCTGGCAAGTGGAGGGAGTCGATCCGCCCCTGCGCGAGGCGGGACCCGGTTTGCGGGGATCGATCCCGCCGGTAGCGAGGATCGATCCTGGCCGTGATGAATGGCACCTTCAAGCACCTCGGAATCCGAGAGACAAAGCCGGATTACGAGGCTTATGAGGAATTAGATGAGATTGAAAGTGGAGATAATAGTGCAACCCCGGCTCCGCGCCTCCCCCCGCGCTCCGATGATGCCGACCTCGATTCCGCGCCCGTGTTCCGTGCTCAACCTAATTTTTTACTTTTTTATTCGAGCGTCTCCAACTGCTTTTAAAACGAAATTCTGACAACAAAAAAAAGAGGGGAAAATTCACAGCGGAAATCAAATTAAAAAAATTCCGTGAAAAAACGTTGAGAAGCGAAAATCGCATCGCCCGCAGATCCGCGAAAAATTGGCAGGTTCCGGGAAATCTTTCCATCTGTCAGACGGAGCCAATTAATATTCATCTTGGGTATTTGCAGTTGAGAGAGGAAACGGGACGGGGATGGCGGAACTCGCGGCGAATGCGAGAACGGAATACCGATTGGTCCTTCCACGGATTCATTTCCTTTATCAGGTGCAAAAGCGAACCGCCGGGTGGGGGAGGGGGAGGGGGAAGGAGAGGGGGAGGGGGGGGAGGGGAGGGGGAGGGGGGAAATTTGCTGCACAAGTGCTATTGTTTGTCGGCCATTTTCTAAACTGGGTTAGGGGAGAAAAGCAGGGGTGTCACCCATTGTATCAGCTGGATAAATAAGCAGAGTTCCGTCCCCTGATGAGCTATTTTCACCTGTCTGATCCACCTCCACCTGTCACTGCCACCTGTCTCGTCCGCTGCAACTGCTCGGGGCAGTAACGGTAAGAGATCTGCACTCGCCGCATTCGGTCGATGGGGAGGAGCGGCGAATGGAAAAACGGACACAAAATATTGTCTATGCTACTTATATTTTAGAATGTGTGTGTGTGTGTCTGTGTGTGTGTGTCTGTTATGCACGGCCACTCCTCTGATCACAGTCCGACCGAACTTTGCATGGCTTCCTCAGTTGGTCCAGGGATTTTGATAGGCTAGGAGGCGTTTGTTTGCCCCCAAGGGCAGACATACATCATTTATACTATAGGTAACAGAGAGAATACCCCGGAACGCGGGACCATCTTCCACTTGCGACATCGCCGTCCGCGCCTCCGTCTCCCTCGAAACGCGTGGTGCCGTGCAACATGTCGCATCACGAAGTCGACTGCACCCGGCAACCCTGCCACTGGCCGAGCGGTTCTGGCCTTCAACCCCGAGGTCTCCTCATCGCCTTTACGGTAGATGCGAGTTCCCGCCAGATGGCAGTGGTGCTCCTCGTCGCAACCCTGGCAACCGCCGTGCAACTAGCGACCACTGGCTTTCACTGTTACCGTGACACGATACTGTTATATCGTCACCATTACGTTACCGTTACCTTTAATCCGCGGACAGCTATGCGACATCCCGTAGGTAGAAAGTGGGGTTGGCAACGTCGAGCCAACGCTGAATGTGGGCGAAGTGGGCCATGAAGTGGGCCATTTCGCCACGAATGTCAAACAGACGGGTTCAACGATGGAAATGAGACATTCGACACAGGAATACTGGAACAGAGTTCCAGGAATTCCGCCGCCTCTTAAGGGAAACCAAAAGGAAAGCGCGGGGGAGACAGGAGGAAGACGCGGGGGAGACAGGAGGAAGACGCGGGGGAGACAGGGGGGAGGGAGTCCATCAGACAGGCGTAATGGAAATCTCGTTCCTTCTGTCGGAAACTGTCAATTAGTATTCATCTCAGGGAAACCGCGGTTGAATGTGGAGAGAGAAAACACAGGATGAGAACGAGTGACGGCACTCACGGCATGGGATGAGGACGAAGTGACTCACGGCACGGGATGAGGACGAAGTGACGGAACTCTCGGCACGAAGCGAGAACGAGAAAGACTGACTTAAAAATATGAGAAAAATATGAGGGAAAAAAAATTCCAGACGTGACCTGGGGCAATTTCCCTTTCTGTCTTCCATCTTCCATTATTTGGCTTATCTCCTTCTGAGATCTGGCGTTTCGATCTCGGGGAAGGAAATGGACCAAAATTTCCGGGAAGCCCCCGCTCTTTTTTTTTTTTTTTTCTATTTTCGCCGGTCGGAAGCGATTGGGAGCGATCGCGATCGCTCGGTGGATGTAAGCCAAGCGCCGCCGACTGAGCCAAATCTCGCAATTTACAACCATGCAAATCACGAAAAAAAAAAAACCGCCTGAAGCCAGAGCCATCTGGCGTCGCACGGAATGAAACGGCTCCCCCGGGGAACTGAGGGGAAAATTCTCTTTATTCAGGAAGGAAGAAGGGGGAACCATCGTGCAACAACAGACCTCAACCATGACTAGACACGCGGCCATTTTGCAAAGTGCAAAAAAAAAAAAATTATTGGCACAAGCTGGAAAAATCCCACGAAAAAAAAAAAAACAAAACACAAAGCAGATCCGTTTTCCTCGTTTTATCACAGGATCTCATCCGAACATCCTCGCGTTCATCCCCGCGCAAAATTTCCCTCCCGGTCTGTGCAAAAAAAAAAGTTTGTACTCGGTCTCTCCTCGAAACCAAAAAAAAGAGCGAACAGAGGTCGACACGGAAATGATTTTTTATCACAGGATTGAGCGCTGATTTTAGTCGATTCCAGAAGAAGAGAATTTTCTCTCGTGATTTGAGAAGAAACGCAGTCGAAACAGTCTTTTCTCCATGGGAGACGCGATGGAGACATTCCTCACTCACTCGCGTAATCGTGAGGTGACATTCCTCATTCACTCGCGTAATCGTGAGGTGACATTCCTCACTCACTCGCGTAATCGTGAGGTGACATTCCTCACTCACGCAATTCACCCCTGAGACATTCCTCGCGCTCCGAGGTGACATTCCTCACTCACACGACCCCGAGGAGACATTCCTCACTCACTCACTCGCGTAAGGCCCGAACCAACGAAAGGGAAAAACCGACTCTCGACCTTCTTTTGAGCAGTGACAGGAATAATAATAAAAAAATTCCAAATTTTTCTTTTCTCCAAATTTCAGACGGGAGTGACCGACAGCGGATCAAGGGGAGACTGGACGAGGAATCTACGGGATTTCCTTCCGGATTCCTCCCCCGAGGACTCTGACCCCTCGGACTTGACACGCAAGCCCAGGGCCCGGCCGATCGAACCCTGCAAAAGAGAGACCGGGGCGAAAAGCCGGGATGAGCAGTCGGACCTAGGGAGGGGGGCGAGGATGCAAAAATCTGGAGGGCGGAAGACCCCGAAGCACGCAAATTAAGAGAAGGTCGGGGGGAATGGCAGGCTTTTTTTTTGGCATAGATCAATTCATGAATTGCAAAGCTATAATAATAATATAAAAAACATATTATAATACGATAAAAAAAAAAAAA